CTGGCTAGTGCACTCTTCAGAGTTATCTGTGCCTTTCAGTCTCTTCAAGCAATTTAAGCAATGTGTAAATTGAGGAAAATATAAGTAATGCAAATGAGGCTTATTTATAGATATATAAATAAATGTTGTCCAGTTAAGTTATAATTGATTATTGACCAGTGGATATTGACTGGTTGTGAATCTATTTGTAAATTTATTTTGGCATTCCTGATTGCCAATATCTAGATAGATATAGATATATAGATTTATATTTGTATGGTCTTTGAATTCTCATTTAAACTGACTGTAATATCTCACTGGTTTCTTCATTAATGAGTTAAATAAAATCTTTGGCATGTGCTCATTGTATATTTGTATGTGTCATGGTTTTATGTTATTAAAAATATCCTTTGACAACTAATGAAACTCAAATTTACCAAATGTAGGTTAAAATATTTTGAGTCAATATTAATTTTCAGAGCTCCCATCTCATTAAGTTTAGTTTAAAATAAAAAAAAAAACCTTCATCATGGAACAATTTAAAAATATTTGCATTTGTTTGAGAAAGCTTTGTCCAAAGTGTGTCCTAATAATTATTTTCTGAGATATTTATTGAAAAGAAGGTTTTGTTGTAAAATACGTGTTTAAAATGCAATGTTTCCATCTGGCGGGAGTCCTAATGGTCTTTACCATGCAACTAACTGTCCACTGAGAGTTAGAGGCCCTTTCTAATCAAGTTCATGTTTCCAAAGAAATTACACCTTCAACCACCCTCCTTCATAAACCTTCTGCCATAGGTACAGCGCTATTTACTATCTCCTTCTTCTCCCCCAAACTTTACCTATTCTGAACTTACCAACTTTTCTTCTCTCTGCCCAATACGGTCTCCACTCATCTCTCTGCTTTTCCAAATTCTTATCAGCAATTGTACTTTTCCTACTTCTTTTTGTAATAATTCAAATGTATGCTTATGTTTGCCACTGCATTGAGAGTTCTTAGAGGATTAAGAATATCGTTTTCATCTTTGTATGACAGGGAAGGGAGAATTGGAATGAACATTTTGATGTTTAGTTAAGTCTTCTCTTTGAAGGTTTTGATAAGGTGCAGGAAAGGCTACCCCAAATATAGCACCTTGACATACTGAGTATTTTAAGCTGAAGGAAATTAAGAAATTTACAGAAGCAAAAAGATTGCTCTGAACTTCTCCTGCCCCCTCTCTTCAAAAGACACTAATGTGACCAATGTCCTGCCTTATGCCCAGAGGGAAGGAATATTACACAGAAAGGCCAAGAAGAGTCTGAGCGAACAGGCCTTGCTAAATTTCTACCAGTTTATTATTGTTAGGTTATACTCCATTTTTATCCAATCATGCTTCTACACAACTGTCCATTCCTCCTCAAACCTAAGCATAAAATATGCAGTTTTCCCTGGGTCTCTGGGTCTTCATTTCTAAAGGCCCTCCTGTCATGTAAAATTTTGATTAAATACATGTGTTATGCTTTTTTCTTGTTAATCTGTCTTTTGCTATAGGGGTGTCGGCCTCGCAATGTCTGAGAAACCTCTTCTTCCCTCCAGTTTCCTAGATTATTCTCACTTATTTATCTACCAGAAATTTTAATTCTCTCTTGATAGGGCTTATATTATTATTTGTAGTATTATTTAATTCTGATTGTCTTATGGTCTGATACCTTATTTCCCACCTAGATTTTTAATTTCTTGGGCCAAATGATCTTTATGTCTCTACATCACCTGTGATGGGAATCTTCAAGAGCTAGAAGTGAATTACTACTTGAATGATTTGAATTGAAGGTAAATACTTACTAGTAGAAATATCAATGATCACAGAGGGACAGAAAAAAATGTGGAGGACAAATTTATTGCCATGAAATAAGCACTTATGCTCTTCTAATGACTACTGAAACTATTTTAATAGCTTGGTTAATTATATTTGTGCTATACATTTAATAACTCTGATTACTTGTCTTCATTGTACAAACATTTAAAGAAAAATATGCATTGTTTCTCATTCCAATGGCTTAAGCATTAAGTAAAAATACATAAAAAACACTCACTCTTCTCAGTGGCTATTATGTGACTTAAATGGGCTTATATCCAACCATTACTAATTGGGATTTTTACCTATTTTGCTCAATAAATATTTGTGAATAAATTTGTTAACTAAGTACTGTACTGGGCATTGAAATGGAAAAAATGTACCAAATTATGTTATAAAGGCTTCACAAGCTAAGCATGATATTATAGGCTCTCTTGTGACAACTGCGAGAATTGAGATTTAAATAAAGTTGTATGGAATCACCACAAAATTAAAAGGA